TGAATGAGCCCTTAGATTAGCTTGGCACTTTTGCATTGTAGTAATGTGCTTTACTGCAGCATGCATGTGTTAGTGTCTTGCAGTGGAAATTATTTAGAATGGCACCCAATGCACTAAGGCAACAGACCTGATTTGTAATGCACTACTGTGCAGTGTGCTGCATTAGGAAAAGTTAGTCACGTTCAGCTTTTGGTGCACTGAGATGTGCTAGCAGCCCATTTACAATGTACAACCTGCCTACCACAAAACATGTTAATGCTCAGCATAACACACTTTTATGTGCATGAGGTGTTCGCCTCCGGTAACACACCTGCCGAGGTGAGAAGGGGCACTTAGGAATAATGTTAGGGTCATCATTTTACTTTTACATTCACTGTACATTTTACACTAAATATGTCTCGTTGTAAAGGTTTTTAGCGTAAGTCACTTATTTACTGTTTTGCATTACAATAATTTTTTTTATACAAAATATCCCTTTAAAAACATTTGTGCAAATATTGTAGGACATTAAGAATAAACTGAACAATGTTTTAATTCTATAGGTCCTGTGCTTTCAGAAATATATGGTTTGGAGGATGTCTTTGAAAAAGTTTCTAATTTAAGTCTCTAGTGTGCATGTACAAATGGACTGGCCATGTGAGGTACAAAAGGAGAGGTAGTTCCCAGCTGTGATAGGGTTAAGCATGTACTTAGAAGGCACCAAATAGAATAGAAATATGGAAGTTACTACAACTGTCTTGTTTTTTAAGGTGCACGATCCAATGCTGCCATCCTGATCCTTAATTACTTCTTGCTTTGCCACAGACATTGAACATACATGCACATATCTAATGTCAGACACCTTATATGCACATTGTTGCTCTGAGCCAATGACTAACAAGACATTGGAGCATAGACAGGTATGACAACCCTATCAGCAATGGCAGTTCTATATTTTTTTGATAGGTGCACAGTACATGATCTAGGACATCAGTTGCGTGAAGAGTTTCTTATCTGCCCTGTTTTAAGATGATCACATATGAATATGTTTTTGTGTAGATAAATGTTATATAACCTATAACAGTGGTAGTTCTGTCTATTTAAAATAAACTTTTTAATATCCCATGATATATAAAGGCTACCTGTTCTAGAGTTATAGACGTAACATGTTTCAACAATGTTCAGTTATTTCCAGTAGCCGTAATTGCAAAAATAGTTTTTATTACTAAAACCCTGACAACCCCCCCAACACAAACACACACACGTACTGCTTATTGATGTCATAGCATACCACATTTTTATCTAAACCTGGATAAAATACTTGAGTTACTTAGAACACTTTCTAATTGTGATGAATGTTACTGGGAAACATTAAAAAGTCTTCTGAATCACTGAGCTTTTTTATGATGCTGTAGTAGGTACATTTTATTGTTATTTTCCAGCATTATGATCAGTCGGTGTGCATTTGTATTGTTTTTGTAATGTCTCCAAAAGGCACGATTTATCTACAGCAATGGGAAAGTCCTCTCAACACTACTCAGACAAGACATTACAAAGCAAACTTATTTTCCAAGTCACCATTTTTATAGGCAATGTTTTCAATTTAAATGTCGTTTCTCTGTTGAAACTATTATAACATTGCATCAGTGGAGAAAATCACATGTAAATTATGCTATTATGACCTTTCCTTCATGGTATGAAGCAGATGATTTCACTACATTTCGATGGTCTTAAGTAAAGGAATCCCCAGTATCAGTCACTGGAAGGTTTTCTAGTCACAATGAACACTAAGGCTATTAAGGTCATTTATGAGATTCATAACTGCTACATACAGTGGTATTTCCTAAGAGTGCATTTTTCTGCATAGTGCATAATTCAGTCCAGATTTTGAAATTTCTCCAGAAAAACATAGACCCACCTTTTATACAGGTTTATGAATCAGCCTAAAAATATGTGATGGGAACAAAGTAACAACAATTTATTTGCTCAGTTAACTGGCATAGGGTTCTCTTCTGAACCTTTACTAGTTTATTCCTTCTTTGTGTGTCCCTTTGCAACCTGCAGCCACCAAGTGATTTAGACAGTAGGCAAGTATACTGTACCTCATACTGATAATGCAGTGCCTGGACTAATGGATGTGTTGTATCATCATAACATATTTACTCTTATTTAAGAAGGACATTGATTCAACAAAAGAGAGACAGGATCTCCCGACAATCAATCTGAAGAAGAACTGGGGTCAAAGTTTAAGCTTGGTGGATGTCAGGTGGGAAGATCAGAACTTTGTTTTTGCTGCTCTCGGAATAACATCAACGGACATACAAGTCTTACTGATGCAAACATTTTGGGTGAATAAACTAGTATGAAGTGCCTTGCAGAGAAACAGTTTGTTGTTCTCCCAGCAACTAATCTGTTGTCACTTCAGGAACGGACGGGGGAGGGGGCGGGTACAGCTGGCTTTGCCTCTAGATAGGCAGAGCCAGCTGTCAGTCACGCAGCTGGGCAGATCCCGGCACAATTATCGGGATCCGCTTCAGCTGCGGCATCTCAGTATACCGCGAGCAGCAGCTCACGGTATACTGAGCCTAGGGTGACGGGAGGACGCTAGTTTGTGTCCTCCCATTACCCTAAGGAGAACTATGGGGAAAAGCCTTAACACCATAGTTCTCCTTTAAGGTTTAACTCCTGAGTTTAGTGTCACTTTAAATATAAAATAGGAGTCTCCTATTGTCAGAGGGGATGACTTGTGTGAAAAGAGGGGACTCCTGATATAAAGGGGGGCTCTATTGTGAAAGGGGGATTCTGATTTAAAAGGGGGTGGTTCTGATATGAAATCTCACTATATTGTATGTGTTTTTGTGTTGGGTTCCCCCTTAAAATCAATACAAGACTGGTATCTTGGATAAGGGTCAGGTATTGATTTTGGATGGAGTTGTGAAGATGTCTTACTCACACATGGCACTCCTAATCTACTTTTATCATTTACCTCACATCTGATGGGAACCATGTGAAAGACTGGAGCTGCCACACTTCCACACTTCTAGCCACCACTGACAAGGTCCAGTGCTTCCTCATATGTACACTACAAACCCCACAACTACAAAGCTCAGTTAGGATTTGTTTCAAAGCTCCTTTACAGTTTGTTAAAAATGTGTGAATATTTAAAGAGACCACATCACTAACTAAACAAATTAACGCCAAAAGCACAGAGAAATCAGGTATTTTGAATGCTTACTTGCAATGTTTATCTTTTCTTTTTTTTTTTATTCACTTGCAATGTGCCTTAGAACTTGCTAGAAAGTTTGACTACTCCATTAGGAATCAATCGCATAGCATTCCCCTCCCTTCTTGCATGTCATAGGCCTCTACTCTTCTAGGAGTCTCTAATTAATCTCTGTGCTGGCCTAGCATCTCCGCTCCTCCCCTCACCTCCCTATATATTCTTTTATGTAGCTGTGGGGGCAAGAGTGAAGGGGAGTACTACAGGGTGCCATTAGAATGACAGCTCTGAGTCTGCTGCTGACATAATTTCCAAGATGGTGGCACCCAGCAGCAGTCTTAGCTCTTTTGGATATCTACACAAGGGAGGCTTTTACAGGTAAATAACATGCATACAATATGTTGAACGCACATATAATCTTATGATAATATTTGTTTTAAAGAAATAATTTGGAGATAGGGTCCCCCTAAATGTCCATAGCTTAGTCACAGGTTCACTTTATACTCTGCTTGATAATTAGCCCCTCCTCAGCCTAAGCCTATTTTATACTGAAATACAATATATGTAGTTTTCCATGCCATAAATGTCATGGGAATAGATGTACCATGTTGACCAAGGTATTATGTAGGCATGGGTGCTATGCTGCCATATTGTCAGAAGTACTATGATGTCCATTATATGTCAAGTTATTCCCAGATGGCCTGAGCTCCTACTGGCTGTTATGCAGAAAAGGTGCTTCAATACGTTAACCTTAGCAGAAGAAGCCAGTGCACAGTTTCTTCTCTTCCAATATAAATCAGCCATCCAGCTCCTTTCTAACATAGGAAGTGGGCTGCCAACTTCTAACTGGCCACCAGAATGACCAGTCAGAGGGCAGAAGTTCACAATACAGTAAACATCCTATATGTAAATTGAGTATACTGGTCAAATCAAATAGCATAGGCAAGATAAGCTGCTTTATTGTTCCTGTTGCCTAGTCCTACCTGGTTTTGCGAATTTGTCTTGTTAAGCTGCACACACACCTTACAATTTTTCTGCAGATTTTCTGTGGTCAGATGCAGGGGTGTCCCAAGGCTGGGTGACACCCGGAGCGGCAACCAAGTGTCACCCCGCCGAGACGTCACTGCCCAAACGCGCGTGCGCGATGACGTCATCGCGCACGTGCGGCAGTTTTCTGATGCCTGGTGATGGACGCCGGCAGAGAGAGGAGGGGACAGTCACCCGGTGGGATAAGGTATGCCGCCGTGTCCCCTCCTCTCTCCTGATACTGTCGGGCGTTCGGTCCATGACCGAGCGCCTGACTTTTCAGAGGGGGGTGACACCAAAATGACTGTGAGTCATTTTGGTGTCACCCCTCCAATGGTGTCACCCAGGTGCGGGCCGCACCCCCGCACCCCCCTTGTGACGCCACTGGTCAGATGGAAAAGGTGCAACAGATTCCTCCATCTCCACTTAAACGTGTGGATGGAGTAATCTCCACCTGGGCCAATCTGTTGAACTTTTTCCATCTGACCACAGAAAATCTGCAGATAAATTGTAAGGTGTGTGGGCACCTTTAGGGTATGATTTTATGAATAGCACAGGCAGAAAAGCTTTTTAAGGGAATCATATAAGTCATATGACCAGTTGCTAATGACAATTTTTGGCCTATATCTTGCACTGCTGCCCACATTTATGTTTGGAGCTCCATGTACAACAAATGTTGGCTGATAACTTTTTTGGTGGCAATAAAGTGAGGTAGAAATATTTCTAAATGGAACAGTTTTCAAATTCAATGGTTATATAGAAATTGGTCTCTTACCAGGAGTCCAGGGTATTCAATCAGCGCTGCCATTATATATGCAGTTAAAGTAACAGGACTATAATGACCTCCTTGAAGTTGGGTGTTTATTACTCTTCCAGGTTCCCAAAATTCTCCATTTTTTTTCTGATAATTGAGAAGCCATGTCAGAGTATCATGCAGTACTGCAGGATCAACTAATATAAACTGACGAGCTTTTAAAAAGCATCTTAGGACAAATGCTGATAACCTTAAAAAGAAAAAAAAGAAGTAACTTTTCACAGAGAATACTCAAGATACCACATTGAGTGCACAACCCTCATAAATATTGATCGATATCTACCGTATATATATCTATACAACATTTGAAACTAATATGCACGCTTTGCAAAGTTTACATTTTTATTCCACCATTAACATTATACAAATACAAATCCTTCATTCTTAATAATAATGGTGACATAAATTGGGTTGTGAGGAAGAGACTAAACATTCCCCAACTTTGTATGATACAGTTTCATGAGCAAACTGAACTGTCTGTATAAAGAATATTTTCCCTAAGAATTTATATAGTCTCATATGTTGAATGAATAAAGGCGTATTCAAAGCAACAATATAAACTAGTAATTGTGCATATTATCCATCAACTGTTTATTTTCCAACAGGGATAAATGCATAAAGGTATTAATTGGCTGTATTATTTCCAATAAAAGTATAGGTGTAACCGATTGTCCTTATAATTGCATAGTGAACAGGCAATCCAAAGTAAGAGCAACATGGCAGCCACTCCCTTCTAGTATTGACACAAATGTCCTAAGTGAGAAAGGAAGGCTACCAAATGTGTAGCTGGAGTGTAAGTAAAAATTACATCTTCATAGGTTATTGTAATTATTCCCTGTAAGAACCAGAGAGAATGCAATATGTTGCCACAAAACTAGGGCTATTTATAGTCTATTTAGCAGATAACACACCAATAGAGTTGGAAAACACGATAAATAGCATAGTGCCTGTTATCATACATTTATTGGTGTAATTCAGATACATACAGCTGTCTTTTAATGTCAATTGGCAATAAAACATACTAAGGATGGAGAGCGTGAGCATTACGACTGCAGACCTTTAAGAGGCGCAGATTATGTTGTATTATATATTTTTGGGGGGGAGAAAATAAAGGCTGTCCTATAACTTGTAAAGGTGATCTTCACAACTAAATATCACCAGCTAGAAGATACAAAACACAATGTTTCTGCTATTCCTTGATATCTACATTTAAAGGAAAGAAAACAAATAAGGAGTCACATCTATTTGGCACACCATTATTTTTTGGCAATGAAAACTGGAAATGACATTTGCATTGGGGTCTAATTGTTCAGTTATAAAGATATGTTGTTGTGTTGGACCAATAATCTAAAAAGAGGACCTTTCTGAATTACTGAAGTGGTCAAAAGCAGTAGATCAACCATCAAAATATTTTTATCTGTATGATGTTTTTCATCACATATGTTCGAAGATCATTCTGATGTACCATATGTAACAGATTAGTTAATTAACAACTAACTTACCATGTGCTTCCAGAAGGGTCATCATTTCCAAATGCACTAAAAGATCCATCTCCTCTTTGATAGACAAGTTCTCTCTGGTATCCTGAAAAAAGTTAATTGCTGGGTATAGTCAGGTTTTAGGAGGATCAAAACTGCAAACAGTGAAACGTTTATGAGGTGTTAGAACATGATGCTTGAGTGGAAATAATAGGTTACCATCCACCAAATGTGAACATTATGCAACTCCACATGATATCAGTGCTCAAAAATTGCTTGCGTCATGCTCTTTTTTTTTTAGTCTACAGCAAGTTTATTTTCACACAATAAAACACTTCTGAAAATGTATATTAGTTCATAAGATGTTTGAACAAACATGCCAGATTGCAGGGTAAGCAGGGTCAGTTTTTAGATGGAAGTAGTTTTGTTCCTATCATAAAACAGTAAGATAATTTTTTGTCTTATAGAGGTAGAATGATACAAGGCTCCTTCGTTTCAGGACTGCTTCGGTGCGCCCTACTGGTTCCTTCCTCCACCATTATGATGGGTTACCTTTAAAGGGGAAAAACCCTGTTACCTGCTTGGCTTTGTGTTTGCATACACTTCTCTATTAAACAAGCTGTTCATGGGCAGAGAGTTCCATCTGTAAATGGGACACCTGCCCTGCACTGTATTGAAAAAGAAGTCTTGAATTTTTAATTGTTTTGATGTTACTTCAATTTTTACAAAAAAATGTTTTACACTCAGCTTTATTGCTATCACATCAGAGGCTAACAAGCCCCCTATGTAATAGCAAATATAATGTGATAGGTCCTCTTTATGGAGACATCACGGGTCTTTCAGACCCCTAATGTCACCTAGGGACCCCAAAGAAGCTGATGAAGCAGAGATCTGCTTCATCAGCTTCTTCCTCTGGCTCTAGGAGACGGAGAATGTGCACAGTGACACCAGAAGTGATGTAATGCACATCACTTCCGGGTCCAGAGGAGAGATCCACAGCTAGAAACAGCGGATCTCTCCTCCGATCTGTCACGGGAGACACTCCACGCCAGTCCCGGGCTCACACGAGGGACAGGTGAGCCCGGGAAGCTGACGGTGACACCGGTGGCCGCGGAGGAGGAAGGGGCAAGCGATCCAGCGCCTGTACAGACACTGGATCGCTTGTATTTAAACAGCAATTGCCGACTGTTTAAAACAGAACCACTTCCAGTGGGGCACTGAGGGCATATCCAGGTGGCCCAGTGGTGGATCTGTGTGATCTGCATCTTGGCTGATGCAGACCATACTAATCGCTCCCTGCCTGTGAGCAGAGGCACCACAAGGGAGCGATCAGTATGGTTTTCATCAGCAAGAGATGCGGATCATACTGATTCTCCACTGGACCACCAAGGAATGATTTTCATTTAATATATTGCCAGTTCGGCAATATATTAAATGTGATCTCGGCACTTGCCAGGTTTAAACTGGCTACTTGCGGCGACCATCTTTAAAAATCTAATGTGCATTGGATACAGGGGGACACCTGAGGCCCGCACGGAGCACCCCAGGTGAGGATCTGGAGTGTGCTGCGGGGGCCCGGCCACCTCCACCTCCTCGCCTGTCACAGTGAGTATCGGCCGTACCCCCCTGATGGCGGCCCTGGTTATAGCAATGTAAATTTCATTAAATTTGCAGTGCGGAGGTTATTACTCTGTAAAGCAATCTACCAATAACTTATCTGTTCAGGAGCCAGTGACGGAGAGGAAATGTCTTCAGTGAGTTAGATGCAGAGACTGATTTCTAGTAAAAGCAATAAACACTTTATTTTTAAGGTTGCTTTTTAGGCAACAGGAAACTTGAAACTGGGAAGCTCTAAAGCACTTCAGAAAAGGGAGACATATGTGGTGACGTAGTAATATAGTATACTTCCTGTTCAATAGGCAATGTTACCCTACAGTAACCGTTCTCTGTTAGTCACAACTGTTGTTCTGATTGAAACAGTACTTTTTCAGGGTGGGATTCAAATGAAGTGTATATCTAACTGCTTAAAATGGGCAACATAAACATTTTGAGATGAAGGAAAGTGACTCTGCTTAACATAGCAACCACATTTCGGTTGTCGTTTATCTAACAAAGTTTACCAAATTGGTTGGTATAGGTGTAGTACTTTTTAGTAATGAGATGCAATAGATGGGGATTAACCTTGATCTTCAGCTAATCAATAGCTACAATGCAAATATTCTAAGCCCACTTACTTGACAATAAGGTGTCAGGCACATTCATGTCAGGAAGGGATTGTTTCAGGATGTGCAAAAGGATGGTCACCAGTAGGGATGCACCGATACTGATATTAGTATCGGTGCCAATGCCGATGCCTAGCCTGATACTTAAGCTTACAGTGTCAGGAAGCCGGGCAACGATGATTGGCCGGGAAGCTTTATCCATGGAGACGGCCAATCAGGAAGACGGGCAGCGTGCCATTACATGCCTCCTGGCTTTCTGATTGGCCAGAAAGCCGGCTTCATGCTCCCTCATCACCTGGTGAAGGATATTAAATTTGTCTTTGTGTGCACTGAAATTCATTCAATTCAGTGTTTTCTTTTTTCTAAAAATATCGATTTGATTAATATTTGCACAAATATAGTATGACTTAAAAAAATGGCAGCTTTCAGAAAATATATACTTGTTTGGGAATTTGAATTTATTGGTTGAAAAATGTATTTTTCAACCTGGTGACGAGGGAGCATGGAGCTGGCTTTCCAACCAATCAGGAAGCCAGGCAACGCATCATTAGACGGCGCCCAGCTTCTTGATTGGCCAGAAAGCCGGCTCCATGCTTCCTCGTCACCTGGTGATGAGGGAGCATGGAGACAGCTTCCCTGCTGATCGGGAAGCTGGGTGGTGAGTATTTATGCACTGCCCAGCTTCCTTAATGGGACGTCCAGTATCGGTATTCGGTATCGGCGAGTACTGAAAAAATATATTGGTACTTCTACTCGATACCGAAAAACCGCATCCCTAGTCACCAGTCACTTTAGTTAAGTTTTTTGTAGTTTTAGTTAGGGCATCTTTGTAAAACTTTTTTAGGTCCCTCTCTCATAGGAGTATGATGGCTGGACACTTAACCGTAGACTATGGCTCCTTGACAAGTGAGGTTCTAGTGGTATCTCAATCTTAGTATTCAAGGCAAGACAGCATGGAAAGGTTTTCAGTCGGTCACTCACTACCACCATTGTGGGGGACAACTGAAGTTTGCTTCCTATAGATCTAAGTAGCACATCCATGGCAACCAGCATCTTTAAAGGTTTCTCCCAAGGGGAGAGATCTTTGTTGACAAAAGCCCAAAAGGGGAGACCATGTACCCCTCAAGCCTAGTGGTTGGCTAGGTAACAAACATCCTTAACATAGAATGATATATCTAGCACCCTCTGCTAAAGCAAACTCAACACACAAAATTACAGTACACTCTGTGCTTACAGTACACGAGACAAGAACACACAAACAACTGACTAAAGTTCTCTGCTTGCTACAAAATTACAAAAACACAAAAAAAGAAATTAGAAAAATATTATATCCCTAAATAGGCTATGCAAATACAGGACCTTGTTTTAACTGGATACCTAGCATTCTTAATTATCCTGTAATTGGTAGGCACTGGATCAAAATGGCTCTTGGCTTGAATGGGATCAGAGGAGGAAGCTTAACATTTTTGATCCAGCAGGTCTCTTTAGTAATCCTGAAATACATTTCCTGACAATCCTCTTTGTATCACTAGAAAGAGTAATAATATAATATTCTTAGACATACCAGCACCAAAAAAAATCAAGGGAACTGTCTATATAACCTTGGTGCACCCTGGTAACAGTCATGTCTCAGAGTTGGCCCAGTTGCCACACATTAACAGATATTTCCCAGCTACATTCACATTATTCATAACCACATAAATGTGAAGTTAAGGAATGTTGCATTTGGCAGATGTTGACTAATCTAATTTCAGCAAACAGAAGTGATCTGCAATAAAATCACTGTGTTTTTTTCTGATTTATACACATCCTGATAATTTGCAGTGGTCTAAAGAAAAAAACAGAATTGGGTTAAAATGCTGCAGGTCAAACAGTGAATCCTATCAGTTAAAAGTATCTAAAGAGATACTTAAATAGTTACGTGGCAACCAAACAATGAAAGAGCATCTAGAAAGGGAAACATTATCACTTTCTTCCACTTTATAAATAGACTCCCAAGAATTCTTCAGATCACTTGTCTGTATCTAATGAAGAAGAGAAACCTCTTTTTGCCATAAGACAGCCATAGCCAGTACCACAAGGTAAGAGAAAGCAGCACCTGGAAAGGTAAATCCAACAAAAGAACACAGGGTCTCCTTAGAAAAGGTACACAACTCTGATGACTAAGGCCCTATTCACACAATGGTGACAGCGTTTCAGCACGTCTTACGCTACTTTTTCAAGCGCGTTTTAGCGAGTTTTTTTATGCGTGTTTCAGTGCATTTTACACATGTTTTCCGTGCATACGTTAGCGCTGATTTTTTGGGGGGCTTGTTTCAATTGTCCAGTCGTAAGCAGGCTCAGCTGCAAAAATACACTTAAAATGCGTACAAAATCAGCGCGTTACCATTAAAGTCTATGGAGCAAAACAAGCTGATCAGCGCCACAAAAGCAGCTCAGGGAGTATTTCAAGCGACAGGCGTATTTGGACGTGTGATTCAGCGCATTTGCATGAACGGAGCCCATAGGAAAACATCGGATTTTCATGTGTATGCGTTTCAGTGCGCAACAAAATGCGCTATGAAAGCGTCATGGTGTGAAGGGGACTTACAGATGTCTCCTAATCCTTCTGTTCCCCTAAAAAAGTATGCTACTCCTATTGCCACATTTAAATTCAACGTACTTTAAACTTTTAATAATTATTGTCGATCTATGAGACAAAAAAAAAAATCGTTATTTGTTTTCAATTTGATATGAGCAAGTGTGTAATTCTCACGGTAATAAAGACATCTTTACTAAATTAGTCAGCAATCTGAAATAAAATCACTCCCATTTGTTCTGCACAATTTAGCATTATTTACAGGGTAACACAAGCCCCTTGTTTATGAAACACAACAAATGCCTAAGAGGGTAGTTTATATGGCATATGAAATCAAACAAATAATTTGAACCATGGATGATGCAGACTAGAACAAGATAATTAGTAAATAGTGCTTTATTCCAGTTGAATTATCTAAAGGGCCAGATTTGGTGGCTGTTATCTTATGTATGTGACTAGCTAAAGTCCTATTTTGTATGATCCAAATTCTTCAATCACTGTTTTTTTTTTTTTATATGAGGTTTTACTATATATAAGTAAGGTCTCTGATTTTATACTACATGTTTAACTGGTATCAGGCCTTTCCCATGTTTATAATTAGGTCCTGCCTATTCTAGTTCAAATCATTTTAGTATATGAATGTGAGAGTATGATTTGCAGCTGCATGTCATCTTCACATCCTTGGGCAGATTTGCCCATATTTCTCTGTTCTTCCAAAGATCAAAATGGAGGAATGGCGTGTTTAAAGGAAGCTGTTGGAGGTGATAGACAAAGTAAGAAGCACTGATAAAACCTGACGCAGGTGTTATATCTTGTCAGATAAGCTTCCTATGATCTGCCTGCCTTTCCAAATATTCAATGAGAAGATGGAAGAATAGTTTCAATTGTGAGTGTGCTACTTCAGACAATTAATTTAACAGCAGCAGGGCCCTACCCATCATTCTTAGACTTACATCTGCCTGTCTATAGCTAGCTTACATTGTGGTGGTATAGGTAGACCGAATGGCCAAAACGTATTTATTGAGCTAAAATAAAGAAATGAAGAAGACATTTGTACAAATTCAGAATTAAAGTTAATTTAGGTCAAACAACATGCTCAGGGGTTTATATATAAAACAATTGCAGAGCCATTCGTCCTGCAAACTGCATTTACAAAACTGTTCTTTGGAAATGGAATGAAAACGAATGTTATCAGTATATTTTCTTTTCTCGACAAATGTAATGCAGGAAAAGAACAAATTATGGCCACTAGTTGGAGCTGAGGAAAATAGGAAATAGAATAGGTAATAAATATTTATACAAATGTACATGCAGTTTCGCAGGACAAATGTATCGGCATATTTTTTTATAACTAAACCCCTGTGTGTAAGTTACTCCTCAACTTTTTTATTTGCTCATAATAGTTGCTTGCCAAGATACATTTAAATTGATTTACTAAAGTTGAGAATGTTTACACAATAAGTTGTGCAAATATTAATTTCAATTATCCAGTCATGTGCAGATGAAATAAGCAAACATGGATTTGCTTTTAACATGATTGAATAGTTGAAGTGAATCTTCACACATTTTATTGTGTGAACATCCTCAGTTCTCAAATCAGCCACATTATCTTTCAACTGTTTTTTTTTTTTTAAAGTTGTCCAATTGTACATAGTGTGTCTTACCTTCTTTCATATATGAAATCAATTTTGGAGCAATGCCATTGATCTGCCTTGTATTTGTTAGATATTCCATTATAAAAATGTTAGGGGCAAATCTTATCATGTTCTGTTCACCACAACCATAAGGAAGTTGAATTAGTGACTGCAGACTGCTGGTTGAAGGTCCTAGAGTATCACCTATTAAAAAAAGAGATGTTATCAACAAGGCAGAATTAAAATATGGCTATAAAACATACATCATTATTAATGCATGTGACAATGTTATGAGGCAGGAGATATTTAATCAGCAGCTCACAACATATACTAACTTTTCAATATAATTCTTGTAAAATGGACCATCATAGCATTATATATAAAGCATTGCTCCTGGGAATAGCCATACTTGAAAGTTAGTTGAAAGTTAGTTTAAAACAAATCTGGAAAACAAATGAGGAAGGGCACTGACATCATGCAGGTCAAAATGATGGTCCATGAAAAAAATGATGGTCCATAAAAAAAAAAAACAATTAAAAAGCTAACTTTTGAGAACAGGTGTTTCTAGCAGCATCACTTTATATATACATCTATGATAATCCCTTTTTCAGGATGGATATGTAAAGATCTTGGATGCAGCAACTTATTTTTGCAGAAAGTTATATTGTGTCCTGGGTAATCATACTATAATTTGGAGTAAAAGGGGGTTATGCACTAAGCTGCCAAAGGCAGCCGAGTGAATTACAGAGCCGAAAAAAAGTGCGCTGTGTTCAGCTCGGCTGTTCTGTTCGTTACCTACGCGGTAGCGAGTAGAATAAAAAAAACACAAGTTGGTGCCTGCCCAGCGCGCTCGATGGCTGACATGTCTTAGAGCCGCTCCGGACCTCGCGGGCATCTCGGGGATTAAAAGACCGCTACCGAACCGCCATCCGAACGGTACCGCATACCGCCAGCGCAGGTAACGCCCCGCCCGCACAGCCATATCAAAGACAACCTGTTGGCTTCTGCAGCCAAGATGGCGCCGACTCCCAGCCGCTCCAGCACTGCTCTGAGAGCCTCCTCCCCACATTTCCCACACTCAGAGGCAGAAGACACAGGCAGCAGGGCCAATTCTCTTTCCCCTACCAGAGATGGATCAGGTCACAAAGTGCTTCTTCAGAAAATTGATCGCATGCTACAGAGAGCATTACACAGCACATCTAAGCAGATCACTGAAAAGCTGACAAAGGAGATCAGTGACCTAGGTCCACAGAGCAGCCGAGCTTGAAACCAAAATGGACGACGCAATTGTGGCCCTGCACGCACGACCGTGAGTTAGGCAACACCAAAGAATCTATACTACAAGAATCCAGAAAAAAAGGGAACCTCTCCTTTCAAGACCACAACTACCAAGTGTTTGCAGACCTCACTCCCCCTACTATCTCCAAGAATAAGGAATTGAAACCTGCCCTCCAACACCTACAACACCACGTTATAGCCTACAGATGGGGCTTCCCCTTTCGCCTTCTTTTCACCTATAGAGACTGCCAACATCAGGCCTCCACTCTGGCGGACGCCTTGAGACTGCTCGGGGAACTACTGTAAGCCTCCTCATGGATGACTCCCATTCATATCGCTCTTCACCACAAGATCAGCGAAGCCCACGTGTGCAGACTCCGAAGGCATCCTCACTCCCACGCTCGCCTCATCAGCACCGAAAACGCCACACCTCAGGGGTATCGGATTCGGACTCTGCCGGATGACAGGTGTAGCGGGATAACTTTCCTTCGTTCAATATGTTCTGAACTAGGACTCTAAAAGGCCACCATTGTGTCATTTGCATGACACGTTATACCGGCCCCTGGCCTAGTGTGACTGCCCCTAATATCTCTGTTTCACAATGCTCACGCAATAGCTCAGGCCAGTCCCGTTCTAGGTTGTTCCCTTCCATTCAATATAGGTTTCTTACAGCTACCTGCCTGTGTCGTTAGTCACTAGGTTTGACAAGTTGATGGAGCGTGATTTTTTTTTTTTTTTTACAAAAGCTTGGCTTAAGGGATGACTTTCAATAGATCGCAGCGAGGTAGCTGCTCTGCTACGTACGAAACCCTGGAGCGTGATTTTAATTATCTAAGTGTTAGCGCGTTTTATGCTCCTCATTACTGTTCACGATTGTTTTTTGCTGCAGCATAGGCAAACGTTAACTTGTTGCTGTTTTGTATGCTAAATGAGTGAGTTACATTTCCAGATGTTGTGAGCACCTTATCCCGATGTTAATCAGAGGAGGCCCTTTGTAGGCCCAGAATTCCACCTGTTCCCTCCTCCTCTTCTGACTCATACCGGATGCCCACGTCACTGGGCTCCCAATGGCTGGAAACTTCTTATATATGTTACCTTTGGTTTAACCGTTCTTATGCCAACTATTTATGTTTATCACTTGCTCTTCCCCAGAGATGCCGGGAAGGTGGTCACTGTGCCCCTCCTTTAGCCCCATCCCAGATTAGTTCCCAGCTGGGGGTTTTACTTCTGCCCACAGATGGATCTGGCCCATTGTGCGCATGCGCGGTCCCGTATCGTGATTCCGGGACGGAAGACGGTGAGTCTCTTACACTTGTATTCAACTTATTGTTTACTAACTCGTTGTCTTTTTTTTCTCTGTTATCATGTCTCTCCCCCTCCTCGCCTCCTCTCCTCCTCCCCACAAGCGTCATGTGGGGAGGAGGAGAGGAGGTCCACTCACAGATCGGTATCTATCCTACACATCCTACACAGCACCACTCCACCCACCCTGAACATGTCACCTGACATTAAAATATTGTCACTAAATGTCAAAGACTTCAACTCCCCCCTTAAAAGATATACCGCATTTCGCCAGTTCCACTCCTCTAAATTTGACATTCTCTGCCTCCAGGAGTCACATTTTTCCCGCTCCTCCCACCTGAAATACTTTCATCCCCATTACTCCCAGGTGTTTATGGCTAATGACATGTCCAAACACCGAGGAGTCATGATAGGATTTCAAAACTCTATGCAGTTCCAATGCATCAAGGAAATCCCTGACCGTCCGGCCGCTATCTTATCTTAATAGGCACCCTATGCGATCAAGAAGTGACTATAGTAACTTAGTATGCCCCTAACTCCAGACAACTCCCCTTTTTCAAACACCTTCTTTCAACCATTAGTACCCACCAACGTGGAACACTCCTGATGTGCGGAGATTCCAACATAATAATGCACCCTAGTCTTGATGGTTCATTTCCCAGGATCGATCACATTTTGTTTCACATTCCACCCTTCATACAGTGGTCGACTCTAACATTATCCCGTTCTCTTGGACTGACCATCACGGAAAGACCCTCTCACTGTCCTCACTCTGCTCTCAGCATGTTGATCGCTCCTGGAATCATTCAGATTCCCTCCTCACTGACAATAACACCCAAATAGCTATTGAAAATGCCCTACAAGATTATATCTTACATAATAGGACCCCAGATGTCTCTCCTACCACACTTTGGGAAGCATACAAACCGGTCCTGCGAGGCACGTGTATCAAAATAGCAACTATCACCAAAAAACAGAGAATGGCCCTCCTACTGGACCTCGAAACCAAATTCAACGATGCATCTAGATTGTTTAGTTTACATCCAACTCCCCTAAACAAATCCCTAGCAGAAAAGTCTAGGAGAGACCTTAATCTCGTACTTGCCAGCCTCGCTGATAAAAGCCTCCGTAGGACCCAGCACAAATTCTACCTCCAAAGCAACAAACAATCCGCCCTTCTTGCTAGAAGACTGCGCAAAATCGATCTGCACCAAAAACCCCTCCGTCTAACAGATAACTCCCTATCTAGCAACCCTCATAAAATTGTCCAAGAGTTCTCTAAACATTTATCTAAGCCTTATAACTCCACTCCTGAAGTGCTAGAACCCATCCTTGCATCTTTACTTGCCCCAATAACTAACCTAGAGGTACTGGCAGCTATAAAATCCCTTAAATTACATAAGAGGCCTGGCCCTGATGGTTTCTCCGCCTCTTATTATAAGAAATTCTCAGAACTGCTAGCGCCTCTACTGACGGCGGCCTTTAACGATGTGCGTGATGGATCCAAATTCAGAACAGAATCCCTCGCAGCCACTATTTACATGATTCCAAAGCCAGACTCAGATGGAACCCATTGGGCAAACTTCAGACCAATATCACTCTAAAATATTGATGTTAAACAGTTAGCCAAAATTCTGGCGACAAGGCTCAATTCCATAATTCCTGCCCTTATTCATAAGGACCAGGTTGGTTTCATCCCCCGGCGCCAAGCCGGAGACAATGTGCGCAGAGCCTTATTGAAAAAGCCAATCAAAGAGGCATTCCATTTATGTTACTATCTCTGGACATGCAAAAGGCATTTGATTCCCTCTCGTGGCAATATCTGCTCTACATTCTCAACAAATGGGGCTTTGGGTCAAAATTTTTGTTCTTGGATCACGGCTTTATACTCTAATCCTACGGCATCGGTGAAGTACGCTGGCCACAGATCTGCTCCCTTTCCCATCCTTAGAGGTACCAGACAGGGCTGCCCCCTCTCGCCACTGCTATATGCATTGGATTTAGAACCCCTTGCACAGTTAATTAGAAATCATCCAGATATTACAGGAATAACACTCGCAGGACACCATCATAAATGATGTCTCTTTGCTGACGACATACTGCTCTTTCTTTCTAATCCCCACATCTCTCTTCATAACACTTTACGCCTCTTAGACTCCTTCTGCCAATTTTCCGGATTACACCTAAACACTTCAAAATCCAAAGCCCTTAACGTAACGCTGTCCTCACACACAACTGAATTGCTAAAATCAAACTACTAGTTCCAATGGTAACTGGTAGTTTGAAATATGAAATATCTGGGTGTTCACCTGACCCCTTCCCATTCCTCCCTATACTCCTCTTTATTCACCAGACTAAAAAACCTACTCAAAATCTGGCATAAATACCCTTTCTCATGGTTGGGTAGAATCGCTGCGGTCAAGATGATCCTATTACCAAAACTTCTTTATTCCTTTTGGGTCTTACCCGCTCCTATACCCCCGCATCAACTTAGAGCTATCCAGAGACAGCTTTCCGCCTTTATCTGGTCACACAAGAAACCAAGGATCCCAGCGAACTCTATGTATCAAACTAGACGTTCGGGTGGTCTGGGTGTACCACAACCCCAGAAATACTACAACGCGGCGCAATTGGCGACTATCACTAAGTACCATGCAAATGTAAAGGTACCACTATGGGTCTCGATTGAAGCTATAGACTGTGACCCATACACAATCGATAACCTCCTATGGATGCAACCTAAGGATAGGAAAGATATCTCTAACACCATAACACGCCACTCGCTTCTCATATGGGATGCCTCTAAATATTCAAGCGACTTTCTCTCACCTACCCATGCTCTCCTTCTTGCACCACCCTGTCTTCCCCCCAGCATTTGATTCTCCCACCACTTTTCATAAATGGAAAGAAAAAGGTGTCACCCGCCTCTACTCCCTATTCAACAACAATAGCATAATGCCCTTCCCAAGCCTTCAAACTCGATACTCAATCCCAACCTCCGAAATATTTTGCTACTTACAAATTAAAAGCTTTATTAGCGCTAATAGTAATTTAAACAGGAATTTATTATCCTTTTCCCCTTTTGAGACTATTTGCAAGCGCGACCCCCACTCTCCTGGAATTATCTCACAACTCTACAGATCCCTACAACCCACTCAAATGCCGCATCACCCCTATATGGACCGCTGGCAGAAAGACCTGGACCTCATACTCTCTGCAGACTCCTGGTCCCAGATATGGACCTCTACCAACTCTTGCTCCTCGAGCGCCAGGGTGCTTGAGACAAACTACAAAGTACTCCTGCGTTGGTATATAACTCCCTCTCAGGCCCAGCACTTTGTGTTGGGCTGCGAGGGCAAATGCTTCCGTGGTTGCCCTGTCAGTGGCACATACTGTATATGCACATCTGGTGGACGTGTCCCATCACTCAAACGTTCTCGTCTAAAATCTTTAGATTGATCTCCACCCTTATAGGCACTTCGGTCCCCCCCACTCCCCAAACAGCCCTGCTCAACATTAAACCCTTGAACATTCCATATTCTAAATTGAAATTAATGCTCCATGTCCTTTCAGCCGCCAAACACACTATTGTTAGCTCATGGCTTACCACAAGAGTCTCCTTCCAAGCCACCAAAAATAGAGTTCACTGGACCTTCTCCCACGAGAAACTCTTGACTAACTGACCAAATGCCAAAGTTCGAAAAAGTATGGAAACCTTGGGTGCAGCATTTGCTACCCCCAACCTTTGACACACGCCTAATAACCCTATGAATACACCTTCTCCTTGCCTTACGACGGACCCAAAGGTGAGCTAGACTGAGCGTCACATCTTCCACCGTTTCCCCTCCCCCTCTCTACCCTACCCCACCCCCCCACTGTTCTTCCTTTTGTTCTCGTTCCTTTTCTATACTGGTTGTTACTGGCCGCTGTGGTGGGAGCCCCACCAGAGCCGGCCCCAACATTCCATATGTGAACATGGGTGATTGCTAGACATTTATATCACATACCATGTATAATTTTCCATACAACTGTTGTATAGCAATACCAATGTCTACATTACTGTTTATGCACGCCCACGATGTTCGTGCTAGTGCATCGTTCAACCACTACTTTATTGAAAAAAATAAAAAACTTTTTGAAACTAAAAAAACAAAACACAAGTTAATAAAAGGAGCAAAAAAAACCAGTGTGGGGTCTCCCTCCCAATCCCTACCAGACCGTTTAGGTCTGATAGGAAAGTTAGAAGGGACCCCGAGTTAAAAAGAAAACAAAATGTGTAGGATTCCCCTCAAAGTCCTACCAGGCCCTTTAGGTATGAAATTTAGGTAGACATTTTAAGGAGGAACCCCACCCCCCAAAACTCCCAACCAGACGCTTAATCCGAGCACAGGCCTGGCAGGGCAGGAAAGGGGGGGATGAGTGCCCCCCCCCCATGCCATTCCAGGCCCCAAGCCCTGCCAGAGTCTTCCCGCAGGTCCCAGCCAAATCAAAACAACTGGTCACAGTTGTTGTCATTCAATGACAGACCAGCATCCTCAGGTTATTTGGGGAAACTGGGCTGTCATTAAATGACAACTGGGCGGAGCCAGCAGTGATGTCACAGCTGGCTCCGCCCAGTTGTCATTCAATTACAGACCAGCGTCCTCAGTTTATTTGAGGACACTGAGCTGCCATTAAATGACAACAACTGGATGGAGCCAGCCGTGATGTCACAGCTGGCTCCGCCCAGTTGTTGTCATTCAATGACAGACCAGCATCCTCAGGTTATTTGAGCACTCTGGTCTGTGATTGAATGACAACAACTGGATGGAGCCTGCCGTGACTTCACGGCTGGCTCTGCCCAGTTGTTGTCTTTAGCAGGGAAAACGGTCTGCTTCGGCAGACAGTTCTCCCCACTTCAGCTGTGACTACAGCTCAGCCGAGCTGAAGCATATGCACTCGGCTGAGCCATTCTCCTGCCGCCGGCTACTGTACGGGCTATTGTGAGTAGCCCGTACAGCAGCTGTTCGGGCTCAGGCAGCCGCAGTGAGCAGAAGCTACAGCTAGATCCTTCGGCTCCTTTGTGAATAATCCTCTGAGTTTTCAATACAATAAAGGTAGAAATTAGGTCTTTCTACTTAGTGACCATCATCTGTTTGACCATTGAAAAGGCTAACTTGTTAAGGGATTTGTAGAAACTGTTTTTGAAATATAAAAATTAACAAACCAACAAACAGAGTTATGTTTCCAACCTGGATGCTCTGTCTGGCTGAGCTGTGTACATCTCAGGAATATACAGGTGAAACTCGAATAATTAAAATATCGTGCAAAGTTCATTTATTTCACTAATGCAACTTAAAAGGTGAAACTAATATATGAGATAGACTCATGACATGCAAAGCAAGATAATTCAAGCCGTGATTTGTCATAATTGTGATGATTATGGCTTACAGCTCATGAAAACCCCAAGAACCCCAAATCCACAACCTCAAAAAAGTAGATTATTACATGCAATCAATAAAACAAGGATTGTACATAGAACAATATCGGACCTCTGAAAAGTACAAGCATGCATATGTACTCAGTACTTACTGCAATTACTTTTGCATGATATTCTAATTATTCGAGTTTCACCTGTATTGGGGGTAACCCCACTGCATGTGTTAAGATCTCATAAGCCCAGAGTTCTTCTTTAAAGACGAAGGACAACATGAGGAAAAGTATTTTGCACAATTAAAAAAGATACACAGATACAGCTAGCAAAATAAAATTCCTTTGAATGGACAAATGAATAGTGTGTTACTACTGCATCACTGCTATACTGTTTAAAAAATGTTAATGCTGTTATCCTTACCAACAACAGTGATAAATGCCTTTTCACTGCCACTTACTACATCAGGAGGGAATGTAAAGTTCAAAGCTTTAGAGACATTTTGCGGTTTGTTGTTGATCAGTTCCAAAAGTAAAGTTTGTGAATATGAGTGTTCTATTCCTTCAGCCTGTCAAAATAAAACAGCATATATTTAACTCTAAACCCCTGCAATTAGCTGAAAGTAGCCTGCCTGCTAACTTTCCACATGTAGTGATCCAGCTATTAAGATATTCCTAGAGTTATGTCATACAATGATGTACTTCTGATGCCATATAAAAGTATTGTCATTTTGGGCTAATTGTTATAAAAACAATATGGGGGAGATTAATAAAAACTGGAGCAGACAAAATCTGGAGCAGTTGCCCATGGCAACCAATCAGCTTCTCTCCAGTTTGTTCAAATAAGATTTGAAAATGAAAGAGAGAAGCTGGTTGCCATGCACAGCTGTTCCAGATTTTGTTTGCTCCATTTTTGATAAATTCCCTTGTATGTATTTCTATCTATTCTAATTAGATAATAATGCAATTTAATGTTACACTGATGATTTTCACACCATGTCCGGACCAGATCTGCAGCAGATCTGCAGTGCAGTGCATTTTTTGCCACATTCCGATGCACTTTTTTTTTTTGGGGGGGGGGGGGTAGGTTAAAAAAAAGTGTAGTAAAAATTTGCTATACATACTTTTTAAAAAAAAGATTTTGAAA